TGTATGTGTCCTAAAAGGTGCAAGTCTCTTACAGGCATCATTACAATGAGTTTTTAAAAATTCACTTAGCTACTCTGTCGTTTAATTGGAGAATTTAATCTAGTTGCAATTCAAATAGCAATTGTCGGGTACAGACTGGTAGCCACTTTGTTCATTGTTTTCTGGCTCATTGCAGATCTTTTTCTCCTTTGACATCCTCCTTTGCAATGTGATGTTCTTTTTCTTTAAATCTGGACTTTTCAGCATGTGTTTGTACCTCCTTCATCTCTCAGTCCCACTCTCTTTTGCATGATCTAACTCCTCTCCTGCGGTCTCTTAATTTTTCCTTAGTATGCTTTGGGTTTCTCATGAAAGAACCATGTTGATTTCCTGTAGTGATGTGTTCGGCTCTTTTCTGTCTTTTGTGTAGTGACCAGATTTTTGCTTTGTGTTTGTTGTAGGGCTTATGTGAAGTATCCTAGAGTTACTAAAGCTGATGACAATGTAGCTTCCAATACAGAAGTCCCTTGATGCTTCCGTAAGGCACGTGGAGTGGTGATGAACTCCTTCAGCATTGATTTGTCCAGAAAGTTAATTTTTGAAGGGGACAGTTTTTCTGAGTAAATATTTCTGTTTGACAGTTGGTTTTTTTTCCTCTCAGCATTTTGAGTATACCGTCCCGCCCTCTTGCTGTAGAACTTGTCACCTGAGAAGTCTCTGGCTGGCCTCAGGAGGCTACCTTTCATGGATGAACCTCTGTGCTTGCTACTGTAAAATTTTCTCTTTTTTCTTTGGTAGTTTGACTATCTCTGACTGGTGAATTTCATCTTTGGGTTGAACCTATTGGGAAATTTTTTACCTTTATGTACCTGGACATCCTTTTTATCTCTGGACTTGGGAAGTTTTCAGCTACTCTTTGTTTAAGTGAACTTTCTGTCTCCTCTTCTTTTTGAAATTACTGTAATATAAATGTTAGCCTTCTTGATAGTGTCTGTAAGTTTTGTAAACTTCCTTTTAAAACAACTTTTCTGCTTTGAATTTTTTTAGTTTTAATTTTTTTTTTTTTTTTTGCTCTGAGAACAGATTCTTCCACTTTATATGTTTTTCATTCCATTTATTGTGTTCTTCAGTTCTAGAATATGTCTGGTTCTTTTTGATTATTTCCTTCTTTTTGAAGTTACTGGGCCGGGAGATGGCTCAGTAGAGTAAGTGCTTGCCTGGCAAGCACAAGGCCCTGAGTTCAATCCCTGGTTCTGAAAAAAAAAAAAGAAAAGAAAGAAAATGAAGTTATCGTTCATGTTTTATTTTTCTGTTGTTGTTGTTATTAGTGTATCTAGTACAGGGTCTGCAGGGTCTCGCTACACAGGTCAGACCTATAGTCATCCTTCTTGTTTTCAGCTTCCCAAGTGCTGAGATTACAGGTGTGCGCCACCTCGCCCAGTCTCGTTCCCCATCTCACGCACCCAGGGGCAGGGCCGGCCTGACAGGCCAGGGTGGAACCCTGGCCCCTGCGTCTGCCTAAGCAGGCACTTGATCTGCCGAGCTGTCTGGCAGGCCCTTTTCTGATATTATAGAGTGGTCTATCTGTATTTTTTTATAACTCATTCGACTTCCTTAAAACAGTTCTGTATTCTTTTTCAGGTAATTGGTAGTTCTCTATTTCTTTGAGATTGGCTATTGAAATACTGTTCTTTTGTAATATCCTATTTCTTCGACTTACATTACTGTCTTAATCTTTGGAGACTTAATTACGTCCTCCAGACTTCACTGAAAGTTTTGAGAGAGCAGTGCCTCCCAGGTCGCCTGGCCAGGGTGCTAAGGCTGCTGCAGGCCCTCTTCATGGATATGCTTGTCTTGTGCCTCTTGTGCTTGCTCAGGGACCCCTAGGGTTGGACACCGTTGTCCTGCCTTTCAGCTTATTTGTGTATATTTACCATACATAGTGCTCATGTTCATCATAGGGAATTTATATCTGAACTGAATATATCTTAATTTTTTCCCATTTTTCCCCTCCCTTTTTGTTACTCCTTCATCCACTCCTCATTGACAATTTCTTTCTCTCTTTTTTTTTGGGGGGTGGTCTTTTGAAATATGTCCTCGCTATGCAGCTCAGGCTGGCCTTGAACTCGCCCTGTAGTCCAGGCTGGCCTTGAGCTCACCCTGTAGTCCAGGCTGACTTTGAGCTCGCCC